CCTGTAGTTTCATCCAATTCCATCTAATTGTTTATAAGTTAGGACAATTTATCTATCTCGTCCTTAAGTTTCCCGTCCCATCCCCTATACCACATGTATTGTTCCAAGTTCTACTGTCACCGTGAAGGCCGCAACGAAACTGGTGGTATCCACACTTTGACGCCCCTTATCATTTCTTATCAGTTGCTACCACTTTCTTCACTCACCTTCTTGGTCCCCGCCTCACCTCACATAAAATTCATGAGTGCGAACGTCCTACTGTCAATGCGAAGGGCTTGACAAAACTGATGGCGTTGGCATTCCGATACCCATTATCAGCTCTTATCACTTGCTATCAGTTTACCTCGCTCACCATTTGGGTCCACGTCCGGCCCCACATAACATTTATTAGTGCAAACTCTCGAAGTCAAAGCGAACGGCGCAATGCATCGCCACGACTCCCGTTATCAGCTCCTATCAGTGGTTATCACTTCCCGCCACCTATCATCAGTGTTCACGTCCAGCCCCCTATATACCCTAGAAGTTTGAGCGCTCTGGGACCAAAGGGAACGAAGTTATGAATTTCCGGTCAGACAGACAAACACACACACACACACAGACACAACACGCACAACCGCTTAACGGATTATATATAGTAGGATAAAATTAGGCGAGTAGTGCAACGAGGAAGGCTAGTGGGGAGAAAATGAAGAAGCGCAATTGAACATACTAAAATTTCTCTTGTGACGCCGGCCTTAGCATGAGAAAAGGCACAGCGCTATTTCGTACGCGAGATGGCGCAAACAACGCCAACTAGGTATGCCACGATTGGCAAGGATGGCACCACACAAGGCATGGCATCCCCACCGTTGCCTCGCGACTGTTGCGCCTCCCATACTTGAGGACCTGTTTTTCTCACTCTAGAATTTCGAAACCTTTAGGCACGGGCTCCCTCCTGACCAGAGTCAACCCTGCGTTGCGCAGTTCTCAACGGCCACGTTGCGCAGTTTCGCCCGATTAGACACGTTCTCTCGCGCGAACATTCACACTCGCATGCTCGAGCCGTCTGTGTCTCCGCCCATACAGCGTGCGTTGAGGATCTCTCAACGTGCCGTTGCGAACTGCGCAACGCAGGGTTGACTCTGCTCCTAACACCAACGTGGCAGTTGTGAAACAGTGTACCTCCGCGAATTAAATCTTCCTTAAATGTTAAATATGACACACCCGAACATATTACATATGTATTTGAGCTAAAGGCATGGTCAGAATATTTTTGGACACAACATGTTTGGACGACCGCTTGAATGCGTACGGAGCAGGGACCAAAGGCAGTGAGATATCTGAAATCAGGTGGGCTCCGTAAGGGTATGGGCTGCGTCCAGCGATTTTCCAGAAGTCTTATTCGCTTTTCTTGTTCATTCTTGGAACTTTTCGTTTTACGCATTGAGAACAAAGTCCTCAGCCACCGAGGAAGTCTAGCAGAGAGAAAAAAACAACGCTAGCTACTGTGCCAAGCCTATATAAAAAAGATACACATTAAACTGGAACGGCCCCTTTCTTAGAAACAATATGGCAACAACTCTGAGAAGTTGAGGTTAATGCAACGCTACCACTTAAAATGTGGAACAAAGTCGCCATTTCTTGCGGCATCCCCGCCGAAGCTAAGCAGTTAAATAACAACAGGAAAGCTAGTATCACTTGCGAGTTACCTTCGAGGAATCTCCGACCGGCTGGTTCCGCGCTGCAATGATGTCGCTGAACGCAATGCTTTGATTCGATCAATCGACCGATCACATGTCTAGCGCATCTCTTTAAGCAGCAGTGTCTATTCATCTCTGCTTAGGCCTTCTTCGTAAGCAGAGATGAATAGCATGCTCCAGCGACAGATTGAAGTTTCCAACAGCAGGGCATACCAAGACGAGCGAGAAGGCCAGTTGCAGGTTAACACGTTGACGACATCGCGTGTTTTGGCATTTTGCACCGCGTGGGACAGGAGCGATTTTGCGAGCGCGCCGTCCTCACCTTACTTCCGCTTATTTTTTGTTAAAATGCACAACAACTTGAATCTCATAGAATTATTTCGGCAAGGATGAAAGCATAAAGGTTAACTATATAAATAGCAGTAGATTTTTGTTTAGAAGAACGCATAATGACCACGAAGAAGCAAAAAACATCACTTTCGCTGCGAATGAAGTTAAAAGCATTTATACCTAAGTTCTTCCATCAAATACAAATATCTTGAAACTCACAGAGTTTTGTATTAACTGCTTCTACAATCTTTCATATGAATGTTACGACAGTGAAAGGAATACTAGGAAAGAATTGAAATGAAAGTTTTGTGCGTTCAGAAAATCTTTGCTAAATCAAGGGATATTTGACCACTCTGGCTGCCATGTGGTTTATAGTTATGCTAATGTATTATCTATAGAATGAATACAAAAAACTCGAGAAGAAGGAGCGCAAGCACAATAAAAATGAATGACATAGTTCTGACGCGCATGCGCGTCAGCTGTCGTCAACGTGCTAATGAAGTACAGCGGCGGAATATTCGTGCGTCAGACATACATACAGAGAAAGGCGACAGTGCTGGTGATGACAGGGGAAAAGCTGGTAGGTAGCGACAAATAACATGCATGCGATGACTGCGGGTGCAGTCAGAGCACTGTTCCGAGGCAGCTAAA